AACGCCGGAAGACGACTGTGACTCCAAGTCATCCTATCCTGGGAAAAACCTAGGGACAGACAAACTCAGGGAGATGACCATCATCAGACAGTCCCTGACAAGTCCCATTTGTACTTTAGTGACTCCTCAGGGAAATAATAAGCTCTCTGAAAAATGCAAAGCTTTGATTAGGGAAGAAGGAAAAAAAGGACAACATCATCGTGGCTGGAATATTTAATATTCTAATTGACATCTTTGCCCTCCTACTAGAACTCAGTAACTTGAACTAAGCTGGTGTCTCAGTAGAGCCTAAAGCATATACCCTATGTGCACCTGTAGTTGGGGTGGTTTCCTGTAGCAGGGTACATAGCATGGGATTGTCCTGGTCGGGGAGCATCCTTTTTTGAGCTCTTAAGTGTCTTAATAGAGCATGAAATATTTTTATAAGTTTGGGGGGAAAAACAGGTGTAACTACTGTTACAGTTATTCCATAGTTGGAGTGAAGTAGTACTCCTCTCTTGCTTAAAATAGTAATTTGATGGGTTTTTTTGAGCTTAAAGCAACATCACTGCTAACCTTTCACTGCCAGCCTTTCACAGGTAGGAAAATGAGAGCATTTAAAATTAACTTTTTATTTTCTTTTGTTTTGCAGGAAAGTTTGTTCACCCAGAAATACTCCAGCTTGTATCTCTGATTAACATAGAAAGGAATAAAAAAATCGCTGCTACATCTCATCCACATTCCTGAGGTGTTCCTAAATGCTGTAGCTGTAATAAATATTTTGTTTTACTTTCTGTGCATTATTTTTCCTCCCATAACATCACTAATTTTGCCAGCAGATTTTTTTCTGTGCATTCACTGCTGAGGATCCTGGGACCGCTTAGATAGGAGCAGGGAGAACAGTGACCTCACAGATCAGGGATCATGTCAAATACTTAGAATGGGGTTTTTCTTTTCTTAATCAGCCTCTGATTGATGCAGTCTCAGTTACAAGTAGATTCTCCACGGGGGAAATTGAGGTAAGTTTAAAAACCAGCTGTGCACTGACTGGGGCAGGCAGTCTTGTTCTGTGAGTTCCAAGTACGTACCTATTTAAGTACCTTCTCTATCAAATGTGTTGGTGTCTTTCCACTCTGCCACCCAGAAGTGAGACCAATGAGCACGTTTCTCTAGAAGCTCTTGACAGAGCCAGACTGGGAGATGAGATTTCTTTGGAGTGCCTTAAGAAGTGCTGGTGGATAAAACTAGTAATCTCATTAATTACATTTTCTCAATGTGTTTATTGTTTCATACAACTTTTCCCCTGTTCACGAATTGTATCAGGGAATGGTGCTGACATTTCCATAAGGCCAGTATTCCTGGCTCCCCTTCACCCTGGACTGGCAATTTTACAGACTCTTGCACAGGTAATGGACAATCACAGGACAGCTGAGGCTGGGAGGGACCTTTGGAGAGTGCAGTATGCCAAAGCCCATGCACAGCTGCCCGTCCCTTGTTCATGCTGTTACACACCAGTACTGATTCTGCTGTAGATGACAGTTCTAAGGAAGGGATAATGCTAATGTAAAAGCACAGAATGGTTGTCAAGTAAAGCTGTAGTGGTGGTAACTGCCATAATGAGACCAGTGCCTGCACAGTTAAGTAAGTGTTGCATCATGTGTGCAGCTGGAGATTAGGGCAATGTCACAATTACCAGATAATGAAAGTTTGCACCTGGAAAAATGAGATGGTAGAGACCTGGAGCTCGCTTCTCTGTCTTCAGCCTCATGTCAAATGAGGCAGCATAACATTAAATTCAACTGTCGGCCCCTTCAGAGGCAGGTGATTGAGCTGAGCAGGCATCTTCAGGCACCATGACTCCAAGAAACATCTCCTTTTTGCAGACCTCAGGGGCCTGAGTGAAGCTTGTGCTGCGTTCTGTGGCTGATGATGCCTTTGGCACACAGCACTGCGCAGAGCTGCTGGGAGCTCTTGTCTCAGCGGCTGGCACCGTGCACGAAATCCAGAGCATATTGGTCCAGCTGAGATGTGGGACGCCTGCTCTGCTCAGGGAACCACAGAAGGCAGCAGTTGTGCCCTATGGAAAGTTTGGGAGAACGAGCTGTGCTTTACTAAGCAATAGGGAACTGGTTTGTGGTTATTGGCAGCTGACTGTCGTGCTGCAAGGGTGATGGCGTGGGGCCTGCGTTCAGCGTTCTTATTCCACCAAGATGCGTACGAATCACAGTCTCTATTGGTTTGCATTCAACGCCAAGCACGAAAGAGCTCCAGATGCATTGGAAGACAGAACTGAGAATGTTCTTGACAAGCAAGAGAAGTGGCCTTTAAAGGATGTTTGCTAGAAACTGCACAAGCACTACCCCAGCAGGAACAGTCGGTTCCTCCAACGCAGCAGAAGGCTTTCCTGGCTGGTTGAGGCGCTGTTCTGCCCGGGCTCCAGGGGATGGAGCACTGAGCCCTCGTTAGCAGTGCAACAGTGCAAGAAAGGTAAGTGCTACCCTGGGGAAGAGAGACGTGGTTGGAGTGTGCGTTGTGTGGGATTTGGTTTTGTTTAAAGGAATCTAGCAGGTACTTTATGTAAAATTACATCCCTGTCTCCTCACTGCAGGTGCAATTGTGTGTCTGTTTCGGGCACTGCATTTTAATAGAAATAGCAGCTGGTTGGAAAGAGACTGGAGAAGGAAGTGCAGTTGGAAAGCAGGACAGGCCACCACTGAGAGGAAATCATCTCCCCTGTCTTCTGCTCTCCATATCAGCACTGAGCCTACACATGGTGGCAGCTGCTGTACTGACAATAACATGTAAGGGAAGAGAAGAACATGTATGGAAGAGACACTTGTCTGGCCATCCTGCCTCCACTAACAGTTGTACACAAGCTCTTCAAATTATACTCTTAATGAATGTAGTTTAAAGCAATTTACTGCATTCCCAGAAGCATTTTTCTGTGTGTATCTGTATATACATAATTTCATAAATAATATGAGGTCTAAATCAGTGTCCCATAGGAGGTGACAGTGCTTGGACCCCATGTTTTAACCTTGATTTGGCTGCTGGCCCTACTCAAAAGGTCCATAGTTTTAGACCTAGAAGATGTTTCACTTCTACTGAACTTGGAAATCACTGAAGTATGAAATAATTTTTCTCCTTTGAACCTCAACCATTTCTCATCTTGGGCCACAGCTTTCCATGGGGAATTTCAGGTCCAGAAGGGACTAAGCAGATTTCAAGAACTGTAGGAATGGCAGATTATGTTCTTGCAGTTTACCTTGACACACTGCAGTGACATAGCAAGGCTTGGAGATGCACAGTAGTACTGGTAAATACACAGAAAACATCACCAAGTGTAAAAGAGTAAGACACAAATTTATTTTTAATAAGAATATCAATAACTTCATTTACACGAAGTTGACCATTAATATCGTCTTTATTTAAATAAATTCACATTTATGCAGAAAACCACAGAAAATAATCTAGTAAACTGTCACAAGGAAACTGTACTAAAAAAAACCCCTAATGAGACTTGCTTCCATGCTAAAAATCACACTAAAGTGGCATTTGATATAAATGTCCAGAATTAACTTATGCCCAGTAGAGCATTATGAAAGGCCTTCCAACGTTGTAAAAACTATAACAAAAGCCACACAGGAGAAAAATCACTTAAAGCCAAGTTTCCTCACAAGATTTTAAGCAGTCTGTAACATCAAACTTGCTAACACTGATTTCAAGCTTTGGCCTATGCCCAAAAAATGCATCCACTTTTAAAGCAGCCAGACTGTTTTCCACCTTGTTTATGTTTCACTGATAGCGCTGTGCTCATCTCAGTCTGGTGAACTGAGTAATGCAACATGCAGACTGACGTGCTCACTAGACAGCAAGATAGTGTCACAAGTGTGCTGCTCTTTTCTTAGAAAAAAAAATGTTAAAAGGATGCAAGAAAACATGCTGAAGCAAAGCTGAGAGATGACTGGCTCTTGGTGATCAAGCAGATATAATGCAGGTGGTGGAATTATGTCCTGGAGTGTAGCATGACAAAATTTAACACCAAAGGGAAGTACCTGCTCATCCTGTGCTGTAAGATAATGGGGTTTGTGCTAGCAGCTTTGAAGGCGTGTGCTCTCCACCCTATGGCACAGCTTTAGCCAGTTGTTGGGTTTGTATTCTTTCGCTTAAGGCTCTATCTTGACTGAGGCTCATAAATACACCGTCCCTTATTTTTGGGGGGAAGGTATGGAGGCAAAATCATTAGAGGTTCCCTCCGCTCCACTTCCCTTTGTACTTAACTTCTACCGGCAAGTCTTATCAAACCACAGAGAGCAAGCAATGGAACATATTTTTTAAACTGAAGCTTTTCCAGCTACAATGATAATCTCAAGTCAGCAGCTGTGAGCAGTTCACTTTCTATCTGAATAACTGGGTGTCTCTTCCCAACCTCCTTAACTCTGCTGACTAATAGGTGGAGGGCAATACCAGACTGTACCAGTGAAGGAGAAAAAACTTTTGTGACAATAAGAGATTTAACTCTGTTAGGAAATAGATCATGTACAGGACCCTCCTGAGCAAAGGGCACCTGGTATGGCTGGTAGACAGCTGGTACAGGGACTACTGCTGACAGTAGAAGTCTTGGCACAGCTCCAGGTCCATCTGTCTGATGTGGCACTGAGAGGGGAGTTGGAAACCAACAGATAGAAAACAGTAAACTAAAAGAAGTAAGAAACAGAGAATGGGAGAATATTGGAGAGAGGTTACATGAAAATGAAAACTATTTTGGTCACTTAACATAGAATTTAGAGCATTGTAAGTCAATGACTCGTGCGGTTTCTGTGGTGTACTAAGTACCCGATGATAAAATGGCCCATCCATAATATAAATAGAGAAACGTTTCTCCAGCACAAGGCCAGGGAGGCAATTTTCCAAAGCTGACAAAACCTTGTTGCACAAGTTGGATGACAAGGGAGATCTAAAAATCACCAGCTGGCGAAGTCTCTGAAGCGAGGCGTGTGAGGCTCAGGATGGCCTGTGGTCTAACACTGAAGCTCTTCTTCGCTCTCAGGGAGTCGGGTGCCAGCAAGAGAGCTCTGAGCACTGGCATGGGCTGTAGAGCTGAGAACTTCTTCAAAACTGCCCCCTGTGTGGCTTGTCCCACCAACCTTGGTCTGAAACAAGGCAAACAAAAAGAGAACAGCAAGTTCCTCTGCTCACACTGTAGCAGGTCCTATTTGCATTCCACCCCATGGCCATGGAGGGCGGGGAATCATTCAAAGCAGGCAGAGAACATGTGGGGTTGGGTTTTTCTTAGAACAACAGCTATAAAAACAGTCAAATAAAGCAGCACATTTCCTCCACCAATTTCTGAACTTACAGCCTGCAATCATACAATCTGCCAGTGACATTTATCACCCACTTAAAGGAACCAGTCCCTAAGTACATCCCAGGAAGGATCCCAGATCCTGCCCGTAAACTCAGTGCAGTTTTTCACATGAGTAGCTCACACCACTTTCACTGTTTTTTCCAGTTCTACACAGGCTGAATAAGAGATGGGTATTAAAATGAACCGGTTCATTTGCTGAGTAAAGTGGCCCATCTGCCAGCAATGGTAACACAGCTGCTCTCAAAATACATAAACTGTACTGGGATTTTGGACAGTAGAAGGAATATAGTAATCAAAGAGCAAAACCAGCAGCTTGTCTCCCTTTAGATACTTGTAGCTACCTAGATAGTGATACCTAAAACTGCCCATCCCATTTTCCTGTGGGGTGGGGGGAGGAAGAGATATGAGATTCCATTAATGAAACATATGACAATGTCCTCTTAAAATGCTTCAGCTTGCTGAATTTCTAATTATAAGTATTAAACCCAAAACCCAATATGAATAAATCTCTGAAATACAGTTTTACTAACAAAGACAGATGATTTCCAAATCTAAAGATTTGGAAATGGTCAAGACTAAGTGACAAAGAGACAAAGCTGGTTTCACCGGGTTGTCTTGGTAAGCAAATGTTCATTTGTGGTCTGGCTTGCTGATAACACCCACTTGAAGTTGACAGCCTGAAAACAGGGCAAAACTTTTTACTCCATTCTAGAACTGCATCAGGACTCAAAGAGAAGCTGGCATTTTTCCAGCCTGTCAGCCTCTTGAATGTTTAGGGAGATTATTTTAATTAAATGAATTTTCTGTCCTAAGTTTCCAAAGGGTTAATCCTATGTAATCCTTTGCTTCATCAGCAAGCACAGGAGCTTGCCTTGCTTGAAAATTCAATCAAAGAAGGTAGGAGGAGGCTTGATAATTGCCCTGACAGTTTGAGTCACAGTTACTGAAAGTTCCCATCTCAAGAGGTAAAAACCTGTATCCAGACTGTGCTGATTTTCAGAAAGTACGGGCCATCATAAGAGGTAAAAACCTGTATCCAGACTAGTGGGCTGTGCTGATTTTCAGAAAGTACGGGCCATCACTGATTTTTGCAAACAGCAATACAAAATATATCATAGAATCATAAAATCATAGAATGGTAGAATACAATTACAGAATATACATTGTTAAATGTTGATAGACACAGAACTTGCAGTACCATTGTCTAGTAAAGCCACTATTAAGTTTTTATGACAAAACTCATGACTTTTATTTGCCAATTAAACTTCTCAAAAGAACACTGACTTGGACTGATCAGAATGATTGTGAAAGTAGACTATTCCTGCACTTTTTCAAATTACTTAGATGCATCTGAATTTGGACAACTCAAATTGAGAAACATTAATGCAGTTTCATTTTCTATTTGGTTTTCTGCCTGCTCTTCCATCCAACAACAAGAACGATGTGAGTCACTTTAGCGAATGCCTCTGGCCAATACCCCAGTGTTTACAGCAAACATTTAGTTCATAAGTGTTCTGGTTTTCAGGAAGTTGAAGAGAATCAGGCACCCAGGTCCTGCTGATTTCCAGGGGAAGCTGAACTAATATACTCTCCTAAGAAAGCTGCAAGTCCAAACTCAAGAGACAAAAATATCTAATTTGAAATTTGACTTCTAAATGTATGAAATCTGAATCAGATCTGTAACTAATATGGGGGGGGGAGGAGGGGCAGGGGCAGATGATAATGCTACTGCTGTTCTTTTGTCAGAAACCTCTCTGGGAAGTTCTCCACTTTTTCAGAAAACAACATGGTCCTAGAATTGACGGGACAGTCTATGATCACCCCCTCACCCCAGTCTTTCTAATCTTGCAAGCCTTGGAACAGAGGCGGGGAAAATGAAGAACAGTGCTGTGACATTCCCAGTTGTCCACAGCCTATGTTGGTGCCACCCTAGGTCTGTGACTCATTTGCACAAAGAAACGAAAGAAAGAAAGAAAGAAAGAAAGAAAGAAAGAAAGAAAGAAAGAAAGAAAGAAAGAAAGAGAAAGAGAATACAGAGAGTATTTCAGAAAATGTCAGTGGGTTTGCAAATCAAGCTGGACAATGAAGGTTTCATGGCATGTGGAAGATGACTTTAGACTCAAGACTTTTTGTTTTGTCCTGCTTAACTAAAGATTCCTTAAAGGCTGATCTAAGAGCACCCTGAACACGATAGGCTGGCATGACAAATAGTCTCCTCTAGAAGAACATCTTTGCTTAATCAGCAAAATAAGATCAGGCTGTTTAAGCAGATCATTGTTAGAAGAAATGGTCTTCAGAGCTATGCAGCTGACTTCTCCTTCTGAAGGAGGTGATCTGAATGATCTACTGAGGTGTCTGGAAACAGTCACCCCTCCCTGATGCAGAAAGGATATCACTCACATTTGTCCTTTGCTCCTCAAAGCAAGGCAAAAGGCTTTAAGCTGTCCCTCTCACAGTCTGACCTCAGTGTAGGAGGAATGGATTTGTGGAGTCTAGAGTAGTTTAGGAGCAAACTTGGGAGCTAGAAGTACTACTGAAAGCCCTCAGAGTAGGTTTAGTGAATAAATGAGAATAAAAAGTGCTGCACTTCTCCAGTGTAGCTGCTTCTTCTAACTTGTGAGTGGTGAGAAAAGAAAAAAAAAAAAAAATCAATCCATTTCAGACCTCAGGTGTTCCAATGAGCTGCATCCCTTATCTAAATGGACAGAAGTAGAAGGAACATAAAGAAATAAGCAAGTGATACACTTGACTGCAACAGACAGGAATTCAGACCTTCCGAGCTGATGCAGCCCACTGCATGAATGATTTCTCCTACAGTGAGGTTGAGTATAAAAAGCATTTGCAGCTAAGGTAAAAAGAATGATTAGGAAGGTATATACAGGCACTGAGCTGGGGCTCTGGAGGTCTGCATTCTGTTCTAGCTCCTTGGGATGCTGCCTCCCACCTGTGAAACTGTGATGATGCTGATGATGCTGATTTCTCTGACATGGTGCAATGGAGATGACATTGCCCTACACTATCATAACTTAAAGTTGTCAGAACAGCCTATCAATAAATAAATGTGAACATTCAAAAGGTGAAAATGATAGAGCAACTCTGCATTCTTTGATGGACATGGTTAGAAACATAAAAATAAACCAAGCTCTCTGCTGCTTACTTTCTTCAGACACTGACTGGAAAGTTTTATCTGCTGTACGATTTCACAGTGGCATGGAAAAGACAGACCTTCCCTGTGCACTTGCTGCTTCAGTTCTAGCTGTAATTTGCATTTTTTGTAACAAGGAATGTCCTTCTGCCCCAGGTGGAAGAACATGTTCTTGCCTTTTTAATACTTTACAACTTGTAATACCCTTTGACATTAATCTAGTATTTTCAGTTCCCCTTTAAAATGAGGGGTGATCAATTTGTTCCTTGTCCACTAACAGACTGTACTGGGAATGTGTTGGGATCTTTCCAAGTAAAATGCCACTTTATGAGCACACTTGACTTTATCTGATTAATCAGAACCATTAGGAGACAAACCTTCTTGTTCCCCCCTTGAACGTGCCTTACCATGTAGCAAAGATCAGCTCACTGCAAACTTGCCATACTCTGTCCTGCTGTATAAGAGCCTTAACAAATGCTGTTAGTGATAACTGGTAACTTCTGTCCCACAGCAAATATGTCAATAGAGGTTTGAAATTTTAAATCCAGACAAAACACTGACATTTGAGAGGAAATGCACTTGTATTAAAGAAAGACGAGTTCAGTGCTAAGAGCCACACAGGTAGCGTGAATCACACCTGAGTTACACGACAGCTCCCACCAGCTGAGTAAGGGGCACTTGGTGAGTACGTCTCTAGTATTGAATGGAGCATAGCTCAGGGATGGAAGCTCACTCTGCAAGGCACACAGCTGCATCTGCCTGGCAGGGCACATCACAAAACTCATGAGGCCACACTGCTTTCAAAACCTGACCTCGCATCTGCACGTGGCTCTGCCTTGCACAGCACAAATAACCATGGTCACGCCTCATGAGCTGTCTCTGCTTACCATTTAAGCATGGCTGTATTTTTGGCATTTTGGAGATGATTTGTTAACTTTGGCAGACAACAGAAGTTAATTTTTTAATAACAAATCAGAGAAAGATTATTAGTGTCCATATTGCTTTCAATTTCCATTAGTGTTCTTGCAGTTCCATGAAATGCTTGATGGAACAGGAAATGCAATCGGTCTCCTGTACAAATGATAGGGACAACTAAGCTGTCACAGTTTAACATGCACAGCCATGTAACTCTGCCTCTAACCTTTACCTTAAGGCTTGTGACAGTGGTCTCAACCTTCTCCTCAAACGATTTGAAAGTTGGAGAATTCCTAGGAGAAAAAGAAAGTTGAAGGCAAGAAGAAGAGTCAGTCACAAATGTAATGGAGCAACTCCACACTTTAATCATTTTTTAACAGGCTAGGACAGAATGAAGGCTGGCTGGCAGCACAGGGCTATAGACTGGTAGGGTATGAAGAATCACTTGTGCTCCGTCAATCAAATCCAATTACAGTAATTGGATAAGTATCTTGTAGCTACAAATTTGCAAAAGCAGCACCTGTCGAGTAACTGAAACCAAAGAGTGACTGGCCTGCCTACTGTCTGATACACTTAGGTTCTCAGAAGAACAACCGTAAAACGCTGGCTGTAGTGCTGCTTTTCTATGGTTTTATCCATTTGTGGTGTTACTGTAATGAAATCAACATTTATTTTTCAGCTGATGAGCAAATTCATAATTACATAATTAAAAGATGACAGTTTAATGTCCTGAGGCTAGGATGAAGGAGACTGGAACTACATAGGAAGTGAGTCCCAAATGCCTTTGAGGAATCATGACTCCCCTCTTCCTGATTTAGTGACCAGAGGTGTATCCTGCTGCCTTCAAAGACAGAGACTTTAGGGACACTTTTCCAAGGGTGCCCCTCTGACAAAACTAAGCTCTTCTTTACCTTTCACTCCCTGTAGAACAGAAACAACACTGGTTTTGGGAAACCTGTGAGTTGAATGTATCTTAAAAGAATTTAAAAAGAGGTAACAGCTGTTGATTTTCCTCCTTAAAGCAAATCACCTGTTTGGTTTGCTGGCTTGCCTGACAACCTTCCTCTTCGTTCTTTTTTTCTCCAAAACTCAAAGAATAGCTTCTCTTTCATTTTAAATGCAATTTTTTACATTTCTTCCTGCAAACAGAACATACTGACCACAACTACTGTCTGCCATGTAATATTATGAATATAATACATTTGCTGTTTTAAAGTGAGAGTATGGATCCCTACAGAGATATGTACTCAAGCTGCCCCTCAGTTGCTTATATGGATGATGTCTCTTCTCCCCTTTCCACAGCAGCTTCCCCACTGCTGATGATCCCTGTCCCACACAGGAAGACAGGCTAGAAGCAGGCAAGATGGAGTGAGTACAAAAGCTTGTCTCCTCCTCCAGCAGTTCAGCCAGCACAAAGGACTTGGGGAAATCTACAGTGGGTAAAGGGGACCTTCTTCTGGTTCTCTGCTCCTTGCTTGAAAACTGAGAGCTCAATTATAGCATCCTTTGTATGTCGTTATTAGTGAAGGCTCTGCAGCTCAGAAACTGTTGTCCAGCACAGTTCCCCTTGTACTTTCTACACCACAAGAAACCAAAAGGTGACAGGATGTCCCTAAGCCCTGTGCAGTATAACGAAGCAGTTAGTTACTTAATCAAGTGTTTAGTTCTTCAGCTTTTTATTTTCACTTCTCTATTGTGGTATATCCAGAAAGAGATAATAGAAACTACTACCACTGAAAGCGCAGGGTACCGCCTAACAACATTGTCAGCAGGATGTACTAAAAACACTACATCCATTTGTTCTTACATGAAATAAAAAATAACAGTGATCTTGAACCATAACGAAGGGTACCCTCACAGTGGAACAATGAGGCAGAACCACCTTACCCTGGCAGGTGCCCATGCCTCTGTGTCATCCACAGGGAAAGGCAAACACATGCACCAGCCTGCACTTCATTTCACAAAGCGATGGAGCCAACGCTGCTAAAACTTTTGTGTTCCAGTTCATCCTCTTTGCACATTCTGGAAACTTACCAGGAGCGTGATGATGGCCTCTAATTCTGCAAATACATTTACATCATATCCCTCATCAGTCTAAGATAAACTGACTCTAATTTAAGGAAAGGGCAAATGGAAGCCAACTGGAAAAATAATGCAGGTTTACTTTTGGTTTCTGTTAAATAGGTGACAAACTTTTCACCCGTAAGAAAGGTCAAAAGGTGAGAGAAACTGAATTTTATGACTTACATTTGACCCATAGGTCACACTGGTGAATGCTTGCCTTTAACTACCCACCTGCTGAAGTTGAATGAATTAGCATCCATCATACAGTTAGATTTGTTTTCCCCACATGCTTGGCAGGGAGTGGGGATATTCATATATTTAGAGGCTGATGGGGTAAAAAGCAAGCTGGATACTAATTTTATTGAAAACAGTCAGAGCTTTACTTGAACAGACATCAATATTTGGCTGCAGTCAAGTAAAGAATGATTATAGCCATTAAAATATGAAAGCACTCATATAAAATCCCTCCATAGGAGCATGAGCCAAAGCCTGCTGGAGTGGAAAGCATCTCTGATGTTAATGGGCTTTGGATGATGTTCTAGAGACAGCAAAACAACTGAATTTCAGCTTCAGTAATACAAAGCTGATAACAACTACCCAAATACATCTCAGAACTGCTTCATTTACTCATAGGCTTGTACAAGAGATTAAACAGTTGATACAATTAAAAAGAAAAAAACCACAGATGGCCTGTCCTGCAGCCCTCATCTACATGAATAACCGTAATTGATTGAAATTGGACTATTCATCTAACTAAAAACTGCAGGATCAGGATCAAAGTATGCAAATCCCCCCTCAGGACACTGTTGAACATCACCATAGCAAATAGAATATGGGTAGCATATTACCTCATCGCAGGCATGCTTATGGAATGGCGAATAGAGTAACTGTGGGATAAAAGCAAAAGATAAGGAAAAAAAAGCTGTAAAATCCAGTTCGCAACATGATTATGACATAATTTTTTTTAATTAACCTTAAAAAAAAATCTATATATTTTCAAGAGTGCTGTTACTCTTCCTCTCCTGATGGCAACAGCTTGTCAAACTCACCTGTGAATTCCAGCTCACTTTCAGCACTGAAGATCTTACCGCCACATTCGCATGTCAACTGATCAGCAGTTTAATAGGGCTCAAAAGAATGATGCAGAACAGCTCCTGGCACTATCCATTTAAATGATGCAGACCCCTGCCATCTAGAGAGACATGCAATGTGAGGCAGAGGAACAGAGAGCTACCTCTGTGTTCCTCAGTGACAAGCAATAAGCTGTGTTGGGTGAGTACAGTACGCCCCAGGTTTGAGAACAGAAATGGAGCTGGTTCAAGGCAGTAGGTAAGTGGGCAACTGCCTGCCTTTGTTGCATATGTAATACATAGAGCCCAAAAAAATAGTGCCAGCCCCCAATTTGTATAGGCTCCTGAACAACAGGCTACCTAAAAAATGGGTTTCTTCGATGAGAGAGGCAGCTCTCAGCTTCAGCAGTTGCTGTCCCCATCTCTCCAGGATGTTTCACCTCCTCCTTCACACCTCACCGTTACTAAGGGTAGAAAGCCGTTTTCCAAAGCTCTCACCCAGCTCTCCTTGCCACATTTCCCTCCTCAGACTTTCCAGCAGCAAGAGTATTGGGAGGTTGGCAATTGGAGAATGGAGCCTCTGCATCACTCAAAGATCCCCAGATTGTCTTGCACACCTTTAACCCTGCCGACAGCTGCCCCCTCTAACCGCTTGACTTACACTAGCCACATTCTCCTACCTGAGAAGCCAACTCTGCTCTCATAGCATCACCTGTTCCCTACCTATGGGAAGCATCAAGCCTGTTCTGAATATGAATCTTTAAATAAAGTGTAAGAACGGTCCATAAGTACATTTAGATTTGAACATTACAAGTAAATTGAGCACTGCAAGAGTATGTATGGTTTCAAAAATTCATCCATGGCTGCTTTCAGTGGTGACTGACAGCTGCAGCCTGGTCTGACTGAGAACAGCGAGAGCTTTACTTTAAGGGACACCAACAGTTGGCTGCAATCAAGCAAAGCATGATTATAGCATTATAAAATGAAAGCTCTCATATAAACAGCACATGTTTGTTCAGAACTACAGAAATTGAAAGCAGCACTGTATCCATATACACACAAAAGATTATTTTTTCCTCCAGATTAAAGATTCAGAAATGAGGGCAGGGGGGAGGAAAGAGCTATTTGGCAAGTAGGTAGGACAGGGAGATTTTACACAAACTGTTTGCTGTTGTGTACATTTGAAGGCTTCTGCTAAGCTCAGATAGACAAGAACTGACAGCAGACAATGCAAATGTTTCATGTTCAATTTTACACATAATTTTTAAGACTTACAAAAGATTAGCCCAGTCGTTTCACAAGTGCAGCAAAGCTTTAACAATTCTAGTTAAATTAAACAAGCATGTTTGCCATTTTAGTCTTGTAACACATGACAAATAGGCAAAAATAAGAATTTGGAAATATTTCAGCATAGGCTGCTCCTCTTCTAATAGCAAAACATTCCAAATATGAAGGTCTAAGTAAGAAGATCACATTGTGCTAACTTACATTCGCACAGCTGAGAGATGGCATGTGACAGACAATCTGAATACCAAGTGCATATTTCACTGAGTTAATTTTTAATTTCTGTAAACCTCTTAAAGAGGTATGGATGCAAGTTCTAGGAACAGTGACAACATCTTATTTTACTAAAAGACTAAAATATTAAGTTTTTTTAAAGACACACATCTGTAACAGCAATCAGTGCACAGGCAGAGTACAGAGATCCTTCCTGACAAAGGCTGCTAAACGTTACCTGTTGGTTTCATGTCAGAGTGCCATTGGAAGGTCTATCTATGGCCCAATTTGAAGTTTTCTCAGTGAAGTAAGAGTCCGTGTTAGGATTACTTAGCTGAACAGAAAAATTGTCCTTGAGCTGCCCTGTGCACTGGCGATGCTACAAGGCCAGAGGGAACGCAGGGGATTCAGGGCTGCTCAGCCCCTCTGCTGGGGCCAGACCACTTACAGAATCTTTCAGCATACATAAAACTTTTTTTTAATTCATCATATATTGAAGTGCTGTACAGCATCAATAAATTCCAGCTCTAAATATAAAGAACCCTTTTAATCATGTTAAGAACTTGGCCTACTATTGGAAATTTCCCCAGGACTCAAGACTCTCTTAAAGGGTCACTATGTACACTTCATGACTAACATACTTTTGCTTTATTGAAGAGGAGGTAATTAAATTCTTTATACAATCTTTATAAAACTCTGCAGGCTGAATAAAATTTTTACTGAATGTTTGCTGTTTATGTTCCAACCTCTGACAGAAAAAGAAGGTTGAGAGAATGGGATTATATATAAATAGGCTTTCCCAAGTGCAACATCTTTTGAATGTGTTCATGATTTGAATTTGAGACCAATCTACTCGAGAACAAGGCAAACACTTAGTCCTTTTCTCATTATTCTCAACATGCTGTAAAAATGAGGCATTACAGTTTAAGTAGCATATGTTTTTATCATATATAACGATGCAGAAAGGTAAGAGGTTACCGCATTACACTCCATAAAACAAATCCTGTCAAATACAGAGGCAGTATTCAAGGACAATAATGTGCCTTACCCAATTGAATGCGACCTGTGGTGGATGCATGAGGAAAGAAAAGTAAGAGTTAAAAGTATCATGAAAATGTAACAAAAATATATGTATATATCTGTAGCGTGTCCAGCTGCCTGAGGAGAAAAACATGATCATTTGCATTCAAATCTTGATGCTGGAATTCATACTAGAACATGGATCAGTTGAGATTTGTTCAAAGCAAAAATTTTCACACACTTCTTCACTACACAGTCACCTATTCTGTGTGAAATAAAGAATGGAAGTTTTGTCTGCTAAGCATTGTGTTCTCTCCATTAGATCAGATTTAAACAATGCTAACTGCTTTCCCTCCCAAAATCCTACTTTAACCTCATTAAAGAGAGAGTAAAGGTGAACTGGAATTGTCCATGTACATCAGCAGCAAACACCTTCTTTTCCCCTCTGTATTCTTAATAATCTCTCTGGAAAAAACAAGGGGCTTTTAATTCCTAAAATGTAATTTTCTAAAATACTTATTGTTGAAAACAATATTTGAAATGCTTTTATGCTGTTTTCCAGCTCACAAGAAATTTAATTAAAGCAGAACTGGGAGAGGCACACTGATATACAATATTCAAAGGATGTCATTAGGGTTCCAGAGTTGAGAAATGATGAGGCAGACAGTCTCTCCTTCATCTGTGTGTTATTGATGTAGTCTTTAATTACAGACCACTTCAAGGGAACACCTGTCTCATGCAGTGAGCCAGATAGACGGTGCACACTTAATGAACATCTCTTCGGTACTTATTTTTCACATCCTTTTTCAATGGGTGGCATGATGCATTATTTACTGCACAATATGCATACCTTGCTCTGAAGAAAAACATTGATTTACAGGGCTCATCATCATGTATACTGGTGCTTCTCAAACGTTCATGGATTTATCTTCACAACACATATCTGCTTAGACTAGCTTAAGCAATACCGTTGCCATACACAGTCTCCTTTTATCACCACTGCTGACTCCCAGTAACAGCCACCCCCTTCTTGCTAATACAAATTCTTGTACAGCCATATGATAAGGAAAGCTGTGTTACTGCAGGCTCTAAAAACCAGCACAAATGAAGGGGCAAGTGTCAGTAGAAATGAGAGGAAACAGCTGCTTCACCCATCAGCAAAAGAAATGCTTATAAAATTACATTCTGAAGCCAGACAATATTACTATTTCCTTTCAGAGACACGGAGGTTTAAAAACAGTAGGTTTGGATATGACAGCTACAAAATTTCAAGGAATTGATCTCCCAACAAGTGCCCAGAACATTCCTAGATCACAGAAATCCTGGAAATGAAGAGCAAAAGGCTGTGCAAAAACTCTACCACCACCACCACCACAAAACCCCCCAAAAGGCACAACAATAAAGGCACAGCAAAAATCAACTCCCACAGCACTAAAGCAGATCAATTATACCTGAGCCATCTTCAACAGATATTGGCCTAACTTGCTTCTCAAAACTTCCAAAGAGAGAGAATTCCCAGCCTTCAGAAATAACCTGTGCCCCTGTTCAGCTTTATAGCTGGACGCTTTTCCTGGTCTTTCACGTTAACCTAATACATCCTCCCTCTCACAGAATCACAGAATGTTCCTTTCATTATTCAGCCACATTTGTCTAGCCTAAAAGCCAACTTGTTAAAAAACTCCCACTAGCTGTATTTTTTGAAGCTGATTTTTAATTTCTTTTATTTTCTTCCTATTCCTTCTAGTTCAGCTGCACACTTTTCCAAGGGCTGTGCCCTTGCACTAGCCTGAATACTCCAGCTGAGTCCTTACCAGAGCTGAGCAGAGCAATTCTCTCCTGAATCTTATAGACAACTCTCCAGTAACACTTGTTGGAATTGAGTTTGTATTAGCAATGACAGCAGGACAGCACTGATCTCCTGCTGCATCTGTGAGCCACTAGCCTAGCACTTGCTAGGCCCCTTATCTGCAAAGCTGGCTGGTCAGGGCTCCCCATCTCTGCTTTTGATTTTTTTCGATCTGTCAATAAAGCAACTTACACTTTTCTACACTAAATTTTATTTTATCATTTAAAATAATTTTGAATTCTAATCCTGCTGTCTAAAGTGCTTGCATTCCCTTTCACTGCAGTCATCTAGGGATATTAAGTGTACATACGATGCCATAATCTAAACTTGTAATGAAAATGCTGAAGAGTAACAGACTCAGGACAGATGCCTGAAAAATCCTACACTATGGTGAGATACTGAGACCTGTTCTTTGAATATAATTTTCAACTCCCTATGCCCTCTTCCTGCTAAAGCAGTAACACCTCAACTGTATTTCTTTAGTTCCACTTACAGGAGTGAAAACAGTATGGGCAGCCTTATCAAAGTCAGGCTCTATCACATTTCCTGCCTCCCCTCCATCCTCTAGGACAGGTGCTGTCAGTTCAAAGAGAATTGTTCTTGACAAACCCCGTTATGTTTTTGCCATCATGTTATCTTCTAGACGCTTAGAAAATAACGGGTTAATGCATCCCCCCAGTATCTGCTTTGTATTTCCCAGAACTTCCCTTGCCTCTTTCCAGAGGGATGAGCTTTGCCTTCTTCCACCCCTCTGGGACCTCATGTGCCTTCTGTGCCGATTCCCATCATCTCAGAGGGGCACATTCAGCTGCCTCAATCATGCCCCCAGGCTCTCCCTCTCTGCAGTCTTCTGTCACCTTCTACATGTGCCTTCCAACTCCTGGCAGGAATGAGACATTATATTACCTTTATTCACCGTCAGATCTGGCTCATCCCAAGCACTGAATTTGAAAGGGGTCTGTGCTACCATGTACTTAAAGAAAATGTATGAGACAGATGAATGAAGGATCTATAAGCAGTATAAATGCTAACATCCTAATTTGCATGCATGCCTTTGTTAGCTTAATCTTTAAATGCATTTACTTGTGTAGTAGTAATGTATGTGGTAGCATGCATGTAGTAATGTAGTGTACGTAGTTTCCTTTTTAATTTTTTTTTTTTAAAGCAAACAAAAAAAAATCAGAAGGTCTCACACTTCTAAAAGGCCATCAGCAGGGCTGAAACTCTTAGATCCACATAGACAGCTGCAGAGCAGTCCAGCAGTATTGCATGGAAAGATCCAAACTTTACCAGTATGCAAAGGAGCCAGGGATAAATACCCTCAACTTTGTATCACTTCTGTACTCTACATGGCAAGAGCCATGTTGAAATGTCCAGTGTAACCTCTCCCTCTGAGAGGTCTGAGTCCATGCTACTGCCCTACGAGTGACCTGAGACTCCCCTCCTCCCCTTTGCCTTTCTCCTCCAATATCAGAAAATGTTAAAGGAGATACTATGAGTTGGGGGGTGAAGGGGCAACAAAAAACCGTGATGGTATATCATTAATCATAAGAGCTATTAATGAAGAATCTATTATCTTAACTATAATGCTAGTGTCTGGTTTATATCCCAAAGCAAAAGTATGTGTATACTGGTTTTATATGCATTTCTGGTATTTCTAGTAACATGCTAATTTTAAATAGAATGCATTACAACTTACAAGCACTAATAGTTATACAAAATTTAGAAGATGAAAAATGCTAGCGATTATTCATGGACAAAATGAATTAGAGTTTGCAACATTAGGAAGCTGGGGTGGGGATGAAAGAGAAGCACAGCAGCTGCATGAAAAGCACTTTGTCCCCAAAGGGTGGCTTCTCTGCTCTTTGGGACACATGGAATTTTGTAATTTTTCTTTCTTTCTTTTATCTTTTTGAATACTAATACAGCAAAAGAGCACATTAGGTGGGGTCTATCTGTCCTGCTGCTGATATATGATATTTTAGTAAGTATTTTTAGAGGTAATACAAGGTAAAATATCTTCCAGGTTATTAAATAAGACTCTGCATCTTCAGAACATAAATATGTATTTCATGTGGTGCTCTGTACAGCTGATATAGCAGGTATTTTGCAACCTGCAAAACAGAATTTTGTTTCTTGCAGAAGGCTGGCTTCAACATTTAGAGTCAGGCTGATTAGAAGACCTTTCAAAATCACCATCACCACAGACAGGGAGTAAAGGCCAAACACACCAGACTGCTGAACATAATGGGAATTATGATGATCATCTGGATTTTAGAAATCAGTTTCAAGCATCCACTCTGAATGAAAGCAGAATGGAAGCCATTGGTCACTATCAACCTTAATGCCTAAACAAGAGAATTAAGCCAGAGTCTGACGCGTGTTTACATCAGCATTGTGGGAGGGGGCAGTGATAATCCCCATACTAGATCACTGAAATAAAATCATTTGGATTAGCAAAAAAGCAAGTAAACAATGAAACACAAGAATGCATGTCTCCTTACAGCTTACTCCTCCCTGAACACGACAGGCACTGGTGTGGCAGAGGGGAATTTTAAGTGATAATGTTTATGGTGCGACCCCACACAGAACTAACTGCACCTGCCCAGGCTGAGGCAAGACCTTAGGCCAGCTTTGTTGCTGAGGGAAGCATACTGACAATTACTGCAGATTTAGGATGTTCAGCAGATGCAGAAGGCCCAAGTCATGCCATGCTTTATGTAACTACAGGATATTTGCTATACTGCTTGTTTCTTCATCATCAAGCGCCAAGAAAACTCTGAACAGTAAGAAGCCACAAAAAATGGCATGATGGTAGGTCATATTTTCCTCAAAACAGGTTCAAGGTACTATTTTTTATCAAAGCAAGCTACCAGAAAAAAGCTTCTTGATTAATCAAAATGCTCATGGACTTAGCCTCTGCTTTAAGCCCCTGGCTAAAGGGCTAACGGGATAAATACCACCCATCTGCTTTCCAAGTGCTAGTCAGAAACATGATCATCATGGGGGTGGGAGTTGGTACTGAGGGGTAGGACAAAGGAATTTGGTAGCAGTCATTAAGGGAAATATTAAAGGAAAAACATGTTCTATTACAGTGAAGACATTGCTGTCTTTACAGTTAATCTCACACCCCATGCAAAGCACAAGCAACACGACACGAGAAGTGCTGAATTGTTAGTCTCATCCTTCCCTCTATGATCAAGAGCCAGTGGTTCAAGGTATTTGCACACCAACTCTTTGGACACTGATATCGGATCCAAAGGATGGAAGCAGCAACAGGACCTGTTCAGTGAGCAGTGGGCTTGTCTTTGTTACAGGAGGAAGTGTTAAAAAGGAACAGAAAATGAAACAGAAGATACCTTTAGGCCACATACAGCACGTGCATCTCATCATGCATTTCTCAAAAATATACAATACAAGTATGAATGCAGGGAATGCAGCAAAAATAAGCAAAAGTAGGCTTGCAAAGGCAACTCATGCAACTGGAGCCACTGCCTGGAAAAGAGAGAACTGAAGGGAAATAAGATAAAACGACAGGAAATCATGAGTGACGTGAAGGACAGCAGAAGGACCACACTCACTACTTTTTGCCCTCAAAAAAAACCCAAAGAAGCTGCAGATCCCTATACCTCATATCGCCGAACTTCTTGCTGATAGCAGTTCCTACATTGCTGATAGCTGCTGTTGCTTTTTGTCCTGCATGGCTCAGGGTCTCATGTGTTTTCTTGTAACTAGAAACAAAAAATAGAACAGAAATAGTGAAAAGTATTTCAAATAGAGGCTAGGATCCCCCACAATTATCTTTTCCCTTATTTCCACATCTTAAAGTCTTGCCCACTGAAAGATGAAGAAATGCAGTAATTTGAGCACAACAAATTACAAAGATGCCCACTTCTGCACAGCTTCCTAAGTGCAGTTCAATCCTAACGCGAGCAAAAAACTCGCCAGAGCAGTTCCTCACTGTGTCTCTTCCCCTTGGAGATAACATCTCGTCCCGAGTTGGTCAGTGCAGGCTGTTTAAAAGTAGAATGCAGCAATTTGGTGAATATCCGTGCAATACAATTTCTGTACATTTTTATCAAATAAGCATTCTCGCAGCAGACACTGACTTTGTAGCAAATCTGCTGTCTAAAGCACAGAAAAGAATCAGAACATACACAACTCTGCTCTTCCATGCATACACTTATTAGGTACATTTAAAAGATGCACTTCAGAATGATTTATTGATATTTCAAATTAGACAAAATTGATTAAATCTGTTTCCATATGCTATAATTTTTTTTTTTTTTTTTTAAGTAAGAATGTTTTAGGAGAGACAGAGAAAGAAAGATGAACAAATGTAGATAATGAATGCATATTCTAAATAGCACTGAATCCTTTTAGAAGTCACCCATTTCACATATAGCATACAAACACAGAATCATCTTAATTTACTCATCCAGAATATATGCTCTGACCCACATAGACTCTTCAGAACAGTTAAGTTGCATTCTCAGAGTAATCAATATGCTTTCCTGCACAGATGCTTTTTTGCTGAGTAAACTAACTGAGCATATCAGAGGCTTCCTTCCGAGTAAATTATCTGATGCTCCCAGTGACGCGGACAAGCTCAGAATTAGAAGTACTGACCTAGTAACAAAAGGAGAGCACATTATAATCAGTCTTGTATCCTGTGGCGCGTGTTGGCAGACAAGAACTGAATAAATGATTGTGAAAAACTCAGAAACACAATTCCACTGGTTCTAATTCTCCTTTGAACAAGTTCTGTAAGATTGCAAATGTGAACCAAAATACACTGGAGATTAATAAAAAAATCCCACTGCCTAATTCCTGGAACAGTGTATTTTCTTCTTACTTTTAGGTACACGAAAGCGATATAACTTTGTGGCAGCAGGAGGGGAAATAAGAGAGGATCAATATTTGCAATATGGCACATCACATTTTATGTCAGGTCCTTTTAGCCTTAGCAGTACCTATTGCTCAAAGGCCTCTATTGAGGATTGTGTTTTACAAATTACAGGTTAGAAGGCAGATGCCAAGTAATCCTCTATTCCTTCAGACAATGTTCTAGCAACAAATAATTTTCCCCAACGTAAGTATTTTGATTTTATGTTCCTAAGCCACAAAATATCTTACAGACTACTGACTTAACAAGTTCCAAAACTGCCAAGTGAAATGGCTCCTTCTATGAAGGTGCTTGTCTCTGTTTTCACTGACTACAAAAGCACTCTGCAGGGAGCAACTTAGACCAGGGTACCAAACCTCTAGAAAACAAGAGTTAGATAAGCTGAATAATAATAATATGCACAATGCTGAATGACAACAGGGGCTACAACATTGCAACAGTGACAGAAGGAGCACAAATGATAAGTAGAAAGGTAGGAGCACTGGTTATGCCTGTTCTATTTCTTCTGGCTGAATACCAAGGAAACCGAAAAGATTGTTTTCACTGGGTCTCCCTTCTCCTCAGCCTTGCTGTCTGTTCCTGGACATAAGAAGATTGCAATGCTCTTATTTCACTGAGCCCCCATTCTTTAGCTTCGCTAGTTTTAATAGCTCTGTCATTCTCTTGCTGTCAGTGGACATAGTCTCATACAAACCAGAGTGGGATGAGACCCTAAAATTGACATTTTTGATGCTTCAGTCAAACTATGAGCATGTAGTTTTTTGAATAAGTGCTGCCTATGGAAAAAAAATAATCAAATATTCTAATTTCTCTGGATTTGCGTGTGTGTGTGTGTGTATATATATATATATATCTATATATATAAAAATACAGGCATTTATTAAAATGCCCACATTATTGCATACAAGTCTTTAGACATTTTCCTAACAGAGAAGTTTCCTAAACCATTAGGCACAAGTGGAATTTTGCTGATGACAAAACAAAGACCAAGACTTGACTTCCAGGTCCAAAAGATTCTTGGTAGCAGAATGTATTTATGTATAGGTTGACTGAACATAGTAAAATACTTTGCAGATTTCCTTCTGAACTAATTTTTTGGAAAAAGACACCTTAGAGTTCATTTTATTCACGGGCATGTTTAGCTTTATGAAAAAACATCTCTATGTTTTCACCTTTCTGCTGCAGGTTCTTCACACTGTGTAAAACTGTTAAGAAAATAGTCCCAAATATCTCATACAGCAGGCAGACTCAAGTTAAATTGAGAAATGTTAGAATGCCCTATGCATTTCTGAACACTACATTGATCAGAATGCACCTTCTGGGAATTGGCTGAAATGACACTGATTTTAGCATTCCAAGTAATATTGTGTTTTCTCTGTAAATCCCATAAAACCAACATCCTCCTCAGTATTTCCACTAGCACGGAAGACATGGAGACTGCATTTATATTCCTAATGCTGTTGACATTGCATCCAGCTAAGACTGTTACACAACTGGTCTTTTTTCAGCACCAACTTAATAAAACATGACCTTTGACATGAAATCCCCCCTCCCTCCAGCAATGCTGAAGAGGAGCTTTAAAGAACAAAAAAATAGCAAAGGTAAAAATGCCGTGCAACATGCAGTACCTGTTAGCAGAGACAAGAAACAGTAATTTGCATCTTAGTAGAGATCACTGATAGTTAACTTAAAAATCAAGTGCCCCTCATCCCTGCCTCTCCACCATTACGCATATCACTATGCTTTCTTAATAAATAAATTATCTTTCCACAGAACACACTGCCTTACTATAGTTCATTACGCTCTGTATTGGTATACAGCACAGTATTGTGGTTCATATATTTTTATCATCACAGTTATTTCATATCTACAGCATTCATTTGATAACTTGCCAATCCTCTCCCCTGTCCCCTGGGGGTGGGGGGAAGTGGGTGAATGGCTGTGTTGGCTGCTAGCCAAGGGCTAGTCCAGTGAAACTGCCACAACACTCTTGTAACAATGATCTCTTCAACATATTGTTTCTGACCTTGGGGAATCTTCACAGTTGTATGTAGCATTAATAATCTGAGCCAGCAGTTTTCATATCCTCACGTAACACACATCAGTTTACAGTTTTGTTTTAATGCACTGAACAGCTTACATAATTTTCAGAAACCTTTAAGAGTAGAAATAAAGTTGGCTATTCCAGTTAAGACCTACTAACATTTATTCCTTGGAAAAAGTGCTGTACGTACAGCTTAAGTCCTCCTAACATCACCAACTGCTCCAACACGCTGCCATCCACAATACCTGTACGCTCTCATCCTTTGAGTGGCCATTCCTGGCAATCATTAGGCAAGTACTGACCACCCAGCTCATCAGGACAGGTGAAACCATCTCAACAGGCAGTCAGCCACAGGCTGAAATAAGGTCAGTGACCCTGAACATTAAGGCAGAAATACTCCAGCAGAAATAAACTCAGAGAATTTAGCACACAGACATTCAAGAAATACCACCTTCCATGCACCCCACGGCATTAATTCTTACAGAAATACATCATTAGGCTCTACACCTTTATTACATTAATACATAGTCACTGTAACCTCCCTGAGTTTAACAGCATTATGCTGGATGCCCAGTAGCATCAGTAAAAGTAGAAACGGGCTACTTGATTTATGCAGTTAGAGTAGGAATGCCTTCTGGTTTTGTGGCATCTAGACATACTCCATAGCACAGAAGAATTGCTGACAGTGGCTAACAAGGATCATACGTCATGCTTTTCACTTAACACTTTTCCCATAATAAATATTTATAGTGTATTTCATAGACAAGAAGGATTAAACAAACATGGTATGTGAACTGCTGCCACAACTGTAAACTTGTAAATAAAACTCACATGTATTATTTTGAACATTACCTTTTTATATGACATTCACCTAAGAATTTCATCCATCACCTTCCAATTACAGTTTGCTTTTTAAAATAGAGTATTTCTTTAACAAAAGCAATTGTTTATGTTTGAACATTACCTTTTTATATGGCATTCACCTAAGAATTTCATCCATCATCTTCCAATTACAGTTTGCTTTTTAAAAGAGTATTTCTTTAACAAAAGCAATTGTTTATAAAACTGATTATTAGAGGTTATAATAAAATATGCTAACATTGCAGTTATATTCTGATAATATGCCCAATGCATTTAAAAGAAGCTTTGAAGATAACTCACACCTCCAGTACTATAACATACTAATGAGGCAAAGTAGATTTGCAGCATATTTTGACTGCATTTTCACCTGACAGTTTCATATACTGCATTTAGGTTGTACTATTACATGACAACCAGGTCTCACTAGCTGATTTTTACAGCTAGTGAAAACAAATAAAGGAAGATACTGTTTCATAAAACACAACGTGTGAAGGAAATAGTGCTTTATATAGAGTATAGCCAGACAGCAGACATATAGAGGTCAGAGAACCAGACGCTTAAATGACCAACATCATCTGCAGGATAAGGCAGGATAATCATACCACAGGCTATTTGATCTCCCCTCAACTCAGTACAGAATTGCCCTTCACATGGCAGACTTAAATCGAAGCTTCCTTCACGGGTGCAACACAAGAGCTGCTGACAGAAGTAGGCTACTAATATAATATTCAAGCTGCACATTTGACCTAAACAATTTAAATTCAGCTTCTGTAAAATTAGTACATCTGCTAATTAGTACATCTTCATTCAGCATTGTGCCTCTCCATCAATGCTTACTGGCAAAATGAATACATTTGAGAAACCCTCTTCTGTGATAAAGCTTACATAAGATTCAACAAAATGCAGACAATTAACAACAA